AAAGACAAGCTTATCACAGCGGCATGTTAAAAAATAGAGCGTTTATACACAAACCAACGCAGAGACAGAACGCAGTAGACAGAACAGTCTACGGTCTCATAGGGGACATACAATCTGATATGATTTCTCCCAATTTTAAATGTACAATCTAGAGGCTAAAAGAAAGAGCGAGAAGTCTTCTGCTCCAAGATAAGAGTTACAGTGAGAGAACGTCTACGCAGACGGGGAGGAGCTGAGATAGCGCTGCGAGGCATATCACCTTACACCGTCCACGCGTACCATATCACTAAACACAGGTCACTTTTTCTCGGGCTTAATCAGCTGTTTGTTTGTTTGTTTTTTTTCCAAGAAAATCTGTAAAGGGAGAAATTAAAAAAAAAAAGGGAGGAGGAGGAAGAGGAAAGCAGGCAGCTCTCTACACTCCCTCTCTCACCAGGAACAGCTTAGTTGTTCACCTCTTTAACAAGTATGAGTAGTACAAAAGGTTAGAAAGAGTGGATATAGACTAGCTTTTACTCCTGATTTCATTTTTCTGCTTTCTTTTTTTAAGTAGTCTGAAGTGGCTGAGGGAATTCTCCCTCAATGGCAAAGTCAATAGGAGCTGGCTGTAGTCAGTGGGAAGTCCAGACTTTGTTGTTTGGTCGTAAGAGACAAACAGCGCTAGATTATTTTGTTTCTGTTTTGGGGGGGAAAAGGGGCGAGTGTGTGTGTGTGAATTGGGTGCTACACGGAGGGAGCTGGAGCTGTTCAGTCGCCAGCTTCGTTCTCTTCTGCTGTTTCTCCCGTGGTGGCGTTCTCTGCGTTCTTAGAGGCCTGTGGAGACAAACCCACGACGACTGTCAGAACAAGGAATCGCCCAGTAACACGGGCAAGGTGCAGGTGCAGATGCAGAGCACACAAGGCCACAATGCTGCCAGCAGGTTTGACAAAAGCCCACCCCAGAAACCTTTTTAGAAGGAAGGGAGGATGTCCCTTCTCACAAGACCACTGCTTCCTGAGCCAGAGCAGCGTCAGGATATTCTTTAAATGTTGTACTGAGATGGGCTGGGAGGAGAGCCCAAAACGTGACCACGCAAGTCCTGGATAAAGTTTGGGCATTGCTGACTGCCAGATATAATGTGCCTTTAATCCCCACAAGAGTGTGGCTAAATTACCTTCTTTTTCTTCTTTTTCTGGGTCTTCCGGCTTGCAGAACTTTGTAGAAGTGCCTGGAGACAGGAAGGAAACATAAGAAGCTAGAAAGCCGCCTTCTTGTTTTAATAGAAGGTAAACGGATATGCCTTTAAAGCAAAACATGCGTTGCCAACCACTGCAGGAATGGCGGTAAATCCTAACGCGCGTAGTGATAGATGGGGAATGCCCCAGCCTCGCACTTTGCTGAGGTATGAGGCCTTGGGGCCAGCTGTTGAGATTTCTCAACTACTTGTAGAAAAAGGCTGGGTATCCTTGTCAAGCAGCTAAAGCTTGTGTCCAATGCAGGAAATAAGGGCCCGTCCTGGTCTAAAGCACATTCTTGCTCATGCCGCAGACTGCAGCACTGCAGGGTCGTGAACTGCTGATGTGGGCCGAGCACTACTGCCGCTTTCTTGTGCGTGAAAATAACCTGTCCGCAAACAGCTGCCGCTGCTTCCCCTTTGCCTTCAGAACTGTTTGCCATGGACCTGTCCAGCTTTTTGAATACCTGCACCCTCCTTATCACAAATCCCACCTGAGATCATCCCCACCCTGGACCAGAGGCTTGCTTTGCAGCATCTTACTCAAAGCTTTTGTTCCTGCTCTGAGCCGCTCGGATGAGAACAGACTAGGAGCGGCTGACCTTCCCCTTTTAAAGCTCACGCCTCATACTGCTTTCGAGCACAACCTTCCAGATCATGCTTCCCACTTTCACCCCAAGGGGTGCAAAGACAATGACCCATCTGATATGCTACTTTTTTTTCCTTTTTTCTTTTTTCTTTTTTTTTAAACCAACCTTCAGTTCTCCATCTTGCACCTCAAACTCCGACTTGTAGAGCTCTGGCTCAAAGGGGCCACTGGTTATCCTCATAGGACCGTTGGGCATTAAAAGCACTGTGAATTTGAACTGTGCAACAAACTCTCCTGCAAAGCAGAAACTGATGTTACTACACCATAGCCCTGCCCTGACATATCTCATCCATTAGATACTTGGGCAGATGTTTCCAACCAGAAGTTGCTTCAATTCCCATGCCATTTCCATAACATCACCGCTACAAATCATCACGCAGAAACTTCTTAAAACCCACCCTGACCAGGGCAAAATGACTCCCTAAGTGCCATCCTCCAAAGCCTCTCCAGCCTACTCTGTAAGCAAACCAGAGCGCTTCACCCTAAGTTTCTCCTCCTGCCCAGGAAATTACTCTGTGAACACTTTCATCTCGTCACTGGAATGATTCCCAAATAAGATTCAGAAGCCAATGGGTAGAGAGTTTCTTGGAGGACAAGTCTCATGGTCCTTGAAGCAAATTTGAAGTGCATCTCTGGACATTCATACAATGACAGTGAGCACTGGTCTTAGCAGAATCCCAAAGTGACTGTCAGTTGTCTGCTAAGCACACTTCCACATCTGGTTCTCAACCCTCCCATGGCCAGCACTCACCTTCTTTTTCGTAGAGGACATTGAAAGGCTGGAGCAGCTCGTGTTTGGCGCATTCTACAACCCCCATCCTGGCCTTTTTCTCATCCTCAAATGCCCTGCGGAGGAGAAAGTTAAAGCTGAGCTCAAGCCCTTTTCTAGAGCCCATCTACTGGATAGCATCCTGCAGATTTCTCAATTGCCGCTGCGGTTAGGCTAAAGATTTTTCACTTTTGTCCCCCTCACCCCTGGCTGTACTGTTTTGCAGTGACACAGCAGACTGCCAGAGCAGGCAACTGTTCTGTAAACATTAAAGCTAGGTGAACTATCACCTTCAGAGAGTGGAAAAAGGCAAGTGGGTTTACGGATAAAAAAGGCCTGTCAACAAAGCAATGTTTCTTTACTGTGCGAGTACATCAGATGCAAAAATTCACTGGAACTGCCTACCTCTTTACGCTGCACCCTGACATTGCTTTCACTCCTCTCCTTCCTTTTATTTTAGCCACAATTTCAGGTTCCCCACATGCCACGCAAGGCACAGGAGATTCTCTGATCCTCAGACTCTGCCTGGGAATCCTGCTTAAGCCTGTAACATGCTTTCCCCACCCATTCTCCTAGGTTCAAATACAGCAAATCCCAACATAAAGCAGAAAAGGCTGCCTCCACCTCTGTGACAGGACAGCAAAGCAAGTCGGTTTTGCTGTCAGCACGGTCTGTAAGCTCAGGCAAAGCACCCAGCTCTGAACACGTGGGGAGATCATGAAGAAGAGCAGATACCTGAGAGTAAATGGCATAGTATCAAAGCGCCTCTCCACCTCACTGAAAAAGGCACGGGAGGTTTTCATCTTCAAGCCGTACTGTTTGGAGGGGTCCCTTTTGTAAATTGTAGTTCTCTGTCCAGCATCCTTTGCCTAAAAACGCAAATAAGGCTGAGACACAAGAAAAGCAGCACAGCACCTCGTGTCTCAGCCAGATTAGCCGATTGTGTTCACAACAGTGTGCTAGAACATTCACATCTGCAATGCACTTTCTGTACTCTGAGCCCATAAAAGTTACCTTAGCTTTTCAGATGGAGAAAGCTACACCCAAAAAGAGGCAGCAAGACCCATGCAACAGCTGGGATTGGCACCCACAAAGATCCGCCCGTTAGCACCATTAACTGCTGATGACTATTTTGAAACATGTCCACCTTGACCACGTGCAGAGTAACAGCAGGCCAAGAAGCACAGCGCTCACCTTTCCCTCTCCAGTGCTGACAAGAACATCAACAGCGTAAACTTCATGGACCTCAAATTCTGCTTTTTCGTGGTCCTTCCTGGATGAAAAAAGTTTGGTGAGTCAAAGAATTGTAAACAGAGAAGATAAAACCTTCTACATAGCCACTGATACCTTAAGCAAGCCCACAGTGGAGTTAGCCACAGAAGTCTACAAGCACGCATACAGTGCTCTACAAAGTGACCAGGTCCCTGACCAGAAGAGCACAAGCTGGCACAGAAGATACAGAAGTTGAAGATTTATATGCCAGGCATTAGAGCAGATCAGTGACAGGCTGGTAGGAGAAAAACAATCACAAGCCAGCGTTCTTCCTGCCCATGACAAGTAGCTCCATCCACAATAAAGGCCAAAAGGTCTCTCTCACGTTCAGCACCTGCTCTTTGAATTTGTGGTCACGTCCTAGGCAGGCCAAGAGCCCCGTTACGCCTGGTACAATACAAGAGAACGTCACTATGTCTCAGACGTTATAATCAAAGCGCTGGCTTTAAAGCCACTGAGCTCTAGATACTCAGCTTGAGACCCAGCGCTGACTGCATCCCTGAGGGAGAGGGGCTGCTGGAACAGAATGGAACGACATATCCAGCTCATTAGTTCAAAATCATCCTGAGATGCTATTGACAGCGATCACCACCCAGTGGGCTCCTGGCAGCTTCTGTGAGACAAACGATAGGCCTTGGCACAGTTCCTGGTGAATTAGCATCCACTGCTACAACTAGCAACAATTGGTTATTTTGCTGACAGCCTCCCAGGCCACAGACTGTAATTTAGTGATGGAGACTCCTTCAAGAAACTGGACAGAAACCAAGAATATTCACAGGTGCCAGTGAGGAGTTCAGATGTCAGGGACTTTCAGCCTTTCTTTCTCAGAGCAAGCCTTAAACGCAGAACCAAAATACACATCCACATAGAATGGACAAAAAGATATGGGGCTACCAATCTGCCACACTGGGTCAGACCAGACTTCAGGAAAGAGGTCACGAGGAGGGCAATCTTTCCCCTAGTTAAATTCTCCTATTGCAGTGACAGTCAGACACTACATGCAAACATACCTGTTACATCCCCCACTTGATATCACAGCCAAAGAAGTGAGAAACAGGACCATCGTTCTGGATCTAGTCACACCCCTCCCAAATGCTGTTGAAAGAAGCAACCCTAGAGATGATGCTCACTTTTGCTGGTCTGTAGGGTTCTGGATGATTGTTTTCTCTCCATCGATCACATGCTGTTTCAGCTGGTGTGACAGCATCCCTGCCGTGATAAGAGAATCCATTAACACCTCTGAGTTGCAAACCTGCTACATAGTGACTTGCATTATTAACACTCCAGGGCCCAGGATTTCAGCCTTCAGCTAGAGCGAAAACAGTAAAGCAAACTGTCTTTGGTGTTAGCACTTCTCTAACTTCCTTCAGTCATAGATTTCCAAGCGCATTAGCAATGATACTGAACTTCCTCAGGCCCACTCTGACTTCAGCAACTGCTTCCTCTCCAAAGAGGAGGAGGTAGAAGTACTGCCACTTCTCAATAAAGCTCTCTAACCACACCAGTAGGTTGTAATGGATTGGAGATGAACTCACAAGTATGTAACAAACACCTTCTACTTGCACAGCACAGGCTTTATGTTAACTCATGCTTAAAGTTTTTTTTTTTTTTGGCTGCTTTTATCCTCTGGAACCTCAGAGATTGCTGGAGTCCTTAAGCCATGCATTTGGGTGTCTCTAGGGATGTCAAACGTCAAGTTAACGGAAACTTTTAGTTCTTCCTGCAGTGCCTAGTCTGTATTCTGTATAGCACTCAAAACATATTTTGGGGGCTTTGCGGTTCACCTTCAAATTCAAGTCTAGGAAGAGAAACATGCAGCCATTCCTGTTCTGCTTCCCAAGCCACCAGTCCCAGCAAGAAAGGTCACATGTCTCCATTCAGGAAGGATGGCTGCTGCTGGCGGGAAAGGAAAGCCAAACTCCAGCAGCCAACAGCTCCGTTTGTTTTCATGAACTGGGTCCTTATGCTGCTGCCAGTGCCTAGATAATTATGGCACTTGACTGTTTCCAAAACAGTGGCTGCTTAAACTCCCTTGACAGTGTGAGCAGCCGCCTCCTCACTGCAGCTGATGCTGTGTTTTTTCACAGAGAAAGGAGTAAAGCATTGAGAAGACCCACAAAGCCATCCCACACAAGGACTAGGGAGCTGATGTTCCAGGCCTGGGCTAAAGCAAGCAAAGAGAGCAAGCCAGCTTTACAGCGTTTCAGCAAATTTAACTAATAGCGGACCAATTTAATTGTGGCCAAAAGAACTATTTGACAGGGACGTCACCAACTATGAAAAAAGCAACTGCATAAATCAAGAGTCAAACAAAGCTCTCACGCCACCTTTCAAACAAGAATCCAGGGGTCTCGTTTCTATCAGAAGCTATCCCAGTGCCTTCCTACCCTCCTGCTATCAACACTATCAAGAAAACGTGAATCAGTTTCTGGTAAGGAAGGCAATTAAATACCCTGCGCGTCTAAAGCATCTTTTAGCAAAGGCCCCTGCATTACTAGCAAGCTCTTTTATATTTTTTCTAAAGGGGTTTTAACTACAAGTGGCCAAGCATGAAGCAAAGAACCAAGCAATTTGTCCCAGGTCAACAGGAAGTCCACAAGTCAGGATACTACCTCCTAGCCAACAAAGTCCAAATCTATTGTTATTGCATTAATGCATTTTTGAAAATCAAAAAACAACAGAAGAGTCTAGAGAGCTTTGAAGGGAAGTTTTAGGAAAGGCTGCTGCATTTAAAGGTGGAGCGTCTAGGACTCAGAGCCATTAAATGCTCTCCATAATTTGAACAGGGGAGGTTAGGATTTAGTGTGTAATTAGAACATTTGCTACCTCTGAATCAGCTACTCTCAAGTTCTTACCTTCAATTGGCGTGCAGTGAAACGAGTGGGCTATTTTGTTCCAAGCGTCTGTCACTTGCGTGTTCTAGATGAAGAACACATGAAAACACATTAAGGATATAAAATTCAAGCCAGAAGCATGATAGCTTTTCAACTTGACGCTGTTCTGTGATAAAACCAGCAGGCTTTCTAACTGAGCGGTGCTCTAACACCTCCAAAAAAGGAGAAACAGTGTCAGCCTTTCATTTTTAACCCTATATCAACGCAAATGACACGTATCATGAGGTTAACTCAGCTCTCCTGCATTGCACCCAGTGCCTTATCAGAGGCCATCTTTCTTTAGAAGATTACACTAGAAACTAAGAGCAACACAAGTATGTTTGGAATAGTAACACAGTGACAAAGGAGAACACCTACGACTGTTTAGGAGTCTGAGCACCAGACAAGGGAGAAACGCAAGTGGGAGATTTAAGGGAGTACAGTTAGGAGGATCCAGAGGAAAGTCTGAAGCGACTGCCAAGAAGTGCTTTGCAACGGACAGATACTGAAGTATGTAGTGGACATCCAGGCTTTGCAAGAGGGAAGACCAGATTTTACCCAGGGTTGTTGCCATTGTTAACTCGCAAACGCGGTGCTTTCAGTTGAGCTTTCCTTTTCTCTTGATGACAGGAGGCCCCTACAAGTGAAACACCTCTACAGACTGGTCCATCAGAGCCAAACAGACAACTGGCCCCATTATGTCTTGTTCTTATCGACCTTGTCCAGCAGGTCCCCAGTCTGGATGCGTGGCAGGATGCCAACAGTGAATGAGTTCTAGGGATGCAGGAAAATGTGCCATTCGTTTCACAAATAGGTGTAACAGCAAGTACTGCAGGCCCCGCTGCCTTCTGGGTCTTTTGCCAACTGAATCTAAAGCTGAGAAGTCAGCCACAACTTTGCTAGCAAGGCTCACCTGCTCCTTCCTGAATGGGATTGGAATCATATCATAAAGACGCTGTGACTCCCAACATTTAAAATTTTCTGTGCGTGCCCAGCTGTTTTCAGAGAGGAAGGAACCAGCAAGTGGAAGCACCAAGGCCTCTCTGTGAAGCCAACTTTACATAAGCAAGAGCTTAGATATTGCTGGCAAGCCAGAACTGCTGACAGGAAGAATCACCGCCACCTGCCCCAGTGGTCCGGCGCTCACCCCAGAAGTGGCTCAGCTGCCTGCAGGCAGCTGCTTCCAGATTCCCCACATAGCTGAACAGTTCTTCCCAGGCAAGGTCATAGGCTTTTATTTCTACACATGAAGTGACCACGTGGCAAATTCAGTGTCTGTATTGGAGCTTCGCGACTTGTACCTAACTACACATTCGCAAATATCAGCCACTCACCTGGTTTCCAGGCTTTACCAAGCGCAGAGCAGCTTCAGCACAGAGATGAGCTGCCTTGATGACATCAGCTTTACGACCTGACACAGGGTTTTCCTGAAAGAACAGGAAAATAAAGGCTCTTTAAGATGCATGCCTTTCCCAGCTATTAGTAAGAACACTGTTCTGACTCCATCTAGAGATGGAGATAATCCATCTACCTGATTACTCTCCCACTGAGTGGGAAATCTAGATCAAAGGTGGAAGGACTTTGGGCTTCACAGCTCTGTCATTGGGCTCTGCTAAAAGAGCAGATGAGTACCAGCTACAACCAAATAAGTTCTGCCTTATGAGTTTCAACAGAAAAATCCCTGTACAAGCCCATCACTGTCAAAGACTGAAAATAGAACTAGACTCTTGTGTAGCCAGAAATACGGACTGGAGAGATTTCAACAGACTTCAATTTTTGTTCTCATCTTCTCCCCATCAAGTTATTCTTATGCAGCCACAGGAGAAAAGACGTTCCCAAGACCACAGCTGCCATCATCCTCCCAAGACTGAAACTTTATTCTAAACTTACGTGACAACTTTACACACATCTTATAACAGTAATTCCTGCAGCCAGTCTCATAAACGCAGCTTAATGTCACTTCCAAAAAATGACTTGACTGAATGGCTGGAGCACTAACCACCCATGCCATGGTGGGGTCCTCACAGATGCCTGCCAGGGGCTGCATGCTGCCCTGGATGAATAAAGCCACTTGCAAGTCTGTACCTGGCATATTCAGACAGAAAAAGCAGGCAGCAGAGACTAGATTTTGGGGCCAAGGAACAAGTCATCCCTGAACTCGGGGCTGCAAAGCTGAGGGCAGTGAGTCCCTGCAGCAGCGCAGCGTGCTTGGCTCCGCGTGCCTCGGCCAGCAGAGGGGGCAGCAAAACCAGTCTGCCCAGTCCGTCCCAGAGCCCAAGCCTCACCTCCATTTGCACAACAGGTACTAAATGCAAATAACTCACTGCAGCTCAACTTGCACTTGGTTTGTCTCAAACCATTTGTAACCTTGCAAAATTGTACATGTTGAAACAGTGCGTCATCTCGCGTTTTCCAGATGACTGAATAATTTTCAAAAAACCAGACCGTTTTCTTCCCGACACTGTTGTGACACCAGAGCTCAGGAGCCTTTGCAAAACTAAACAGAAACTTCTGTGACGCTCTACACTGCAGCCTTTGGGAACTAGCTTTTTGGGAACATCAGCTTTCTAATATCGCCCTCAGATTGCACTGAACGCAGCAGCTGTAAGACATACACCATTCCTTCAAAAACCTACCTTTGATGCATCTATGACAAAACTGTGTGCTACGTTCGCTATAAAACCATCAACGTGGACTCCCAAGTCACTGCAACACAAAGAGTTAATTACAGGTGAGGCCTCACAACGCAGGAAACTTGTGCGACTTCTAAAAGTATTAGCAGAGTCTCAGGCATGTTTCAAACGCTTTACTAATTAGCCAAGCCAAGGAAGGATTTAACACACCAAGTAGTATTAACGAGCGAAGCCCAGATGCTGACAGTAAATTCATGAGAAATATAACTAAGATGCTTACATTTTGACCAAGTCTCCGTCTTTGAGGATGTAATCTTGGTCACTCTTCAAGGGGGAGAAGTGACAGACACAGTTATTTACCGATATACTCGTTGGGAAGGCAATACCTATAAAGGGAAAAAGAAATATTCCATAAGTCTAGCAATCTCACACGCTGCACAGGCACAGACAGCAGCCCTGCCACTGTGGTTTGTCACTTAGGTTTTAGTCGTTTAAGCATCGTAAAACACTCCATCCATTACCTAAGGCTCTAGCCAAAAAGCCATAAGGAATCTAGCTTGCGGCAAGCTCCTACACTGGCCTTCTTTTTGTCCAGACAACCATCAAAACAAATACATCCAAGGCAGTAAGACACTTGCAAAAGGGACCTCAATTCTCCAGAACACAAATCACGGCGCTTTCAGTGACACACTCAAGTGTCACACAATTTCCATGGCAACTACAGACCAACTATAACCATATAGCAGGTCTTCCTGAAGAGAGGACGTTGTCCAAAGTAAGTCTCATTTCAATGTGAATGATTGGGTAAATCAAAATGGGAAGCTCAAGCTTATCAGTGATGCTTATGAACAGGGCAAGCAGGACGATTTGGATCAAAACTGGTTTTCTAGGAATGGTGAAGTATTTCTTACGCTAATTAGAGCAGAACTGTGCTTTCCATGCTGCTACTCATTCATGCCAGCCACCAAACAACACAACAGGACAAAAAATATCCTCATATTGAAAAAGTTTCTTTGGAACAGGCCTCACCTTTTTTCATTTCTTTTTCCTTCTTGAAAATTTTGCCAGTCTCTTCCATGATCATGGCATCTCCCTTTTCACACAAGCAGAGAACTGATGCTCCAGAGTTTGCTGCTTCAACCACTGCACGCAGGACCCCTTAATTCAAACAAAAAGCTGTTGAAGTACGTTCACCATAAACAGCCTTAAAACTAACAGCAACCCTCATCACACAGCCCCACGGTGAAAAAAGAAATATATCCATCTGTTTTCTAAAAAGGGACAAGACTGTTAGCTCAGCTTTTCACCAAGGACATAAGAGAAATCCCATTGTAATTTTTCGTTTTAAGAACTGACTTTCCGGGAACACTTTCACAGAAAACATGAGCAAGCAAACATACATTGGGATTTGCACAGGTGAAGTGCAGCAGTTTCAGACACCCATCTATACGCTCGCAGGTCTCTTAAACAAAGAGGCCAAGCAGAAACATCACTCTCCCACATTCTTTCCAGAGAAGTCAGAGCTTCAGAAACAGGTTTGAAAATTACTTGGGAGACAAAATACACAGCACATCAAAAGAGCAGGGGGCACTGTTGTGGACGTGTAGGACTATAACGTACAGATCAACAGAAAGACTTTGCTTGGCTCAAGAGCTGGCACCAGCACAGAACTAGCACAGCAAAGCCAGTTACATTAGCCTCTTTGCAGGAGCACGTTTTAAAGGTAACCCACGCTCCTCCTCTCAGTCACGAAGGCCAGGCAACACAAGCAGCTTACAGCATGCTTTCTGCCATCAGGAGCTTTACGTGCCTTGCTCCGCACTGGAGGTTAAAGAAAGCTTTGCTGCCTGTTTCCTGAATGTTGCTTGCATCTACTTTTGGACGTATTCTAGCTTTGTGCCTAGGAGTCTCATCAGCATTTTGATTACACCATAGCAGACAGCGTGCCTTATAGTATAAATGGGTAAAGGAATGTAAAAGCCACGGCTCGCGTTGAAATCCTGCAGGCTCACATTCATAAACACATTGCGATGGTATTCTAGGAGTAGCAGCCACGAAGGCCCAGGAGCTGCTGGAGCAAGCCACATACGTCTTGACTGCCTTTCTACCAGTCAGCAGGCCAGGAGCCAAGGCACTGCCTCTGTCACCGGCTGACTAGCTGCTATTCCCCTCTCTTCTTCCTCTATCAAACTGGATACAAGTCTTAAAGCTTATCCTCTAAAATGTTTTGGGATCCAGGGATAAAAGGTACACATGCAGTTTCTCCTCGCTCTGTGAGCGCACTGTTTTTACAAGAGGCTGTTTTGGAAGTGTCTCTATTTGCTGGGAGTTTCTGTTACCGATAGTGTGTGCTCTAGGTACTACAGCAATAAATACTTCTGAAGTGCTTAAGACATTTACAAGCAGATGGTTTTTCATAGTTTCTTTGACATAGAGTAAAAACCAAAAATCTTTCACCTGCATGATTGAATTCAATTTCAAATGACTTCAAGCAGTCATCTTTCCATGCGTCATAGATGGTTATGAATTCGGAATATTTTACAGTACAGATAAAACTGTGATAAAAAAGACATTTAGTGGATAGCAGGACACAGAGTTGAAAATAGAAAACGTCAAAACAAACACAGCAGAAAGATAAATGGAGAGCCGTGTTCATCAGAGCATTAGAATGAAACCAAAAAGCAGAGAGTGTAACAGCACTGACCAAGGAACATCTCTTAATTGTATTCTGTCCTTCCACAGGGCTTCATTTAGGAATTAAAAGCACTTTATGTCATTAAAGGCACGTCACACTGACAAGTACCCAAGACATTTTGAACTGGAAAGCCTTTTTGTCACAGTTCTGGATTTGATGTTCCCAAACACAGTCACAACACTACCAAGAGAGAAATGCTGCGATCAATCCACTTTTCCTCTCCGGGAACGGGGGTGTCCCCTCCGTGTAGCTAAACCTGTGGCATAACCTCTCTGCACCTTGCTGTTACATCCGGTTTGCCAAACAGCCAGTGAAAAACCAAAGAACCGACCTTCCTTCCCCAAGGGGGGGAACCTTTCCCCCCCGCCCCAGAGCAAAAAGGTATAGGGCCAGGAAAACACCAGCTAGCAACCCTTGTACCAACTAAAACATTACTGCAGCTTTCAAAAACCACGTCTTTCTCTGGAGCTGCATCCCAAGTTACTATGAAGAGCGATGACTTAAAAAGAAGCATTGGAGTCAGCAACAATTAGTGCGGCGTATACCACTACTGAAGCTGCTCCTGGAGCGGCGGGGACCTCATAAAACCGGTCCAGTTAGCTCTTTAAAACAGCTGTCACTTTTCTCGAGGGGGTTAACTAACCACCCTTAATGATACAGCAAAAACAAACGCTTAAAACAAAAACTAAAAAAGGGGAGGGGGGGGTGTTGGAATAACGCGAGGCGACCGAAGTTTGCAACACGCATAACACGTCTGACGAGCCCACGCCGAGCCCCCGCGCCCGGCTTGAGGCGGCTGCAGGCCCAGGAGCCGGCGGAAGAAAGGCGTTTAAGCCGCCGGCTTTTGGGTAAAAATAATAATAATAATAAAAAAGATGGGGGGGTGAAAGCGGCGGTGCGGCTTCCCGGGGACGTTGGCACAAAAGAAAGGATTTTTTT